TGTACATATGCCTTTGTCAGTTCTTATCTCCAATCTCTAGAACACACACTCTCTCCTGACTGTTTGTGTAAGACTAGCAAACATTTAGCTTTCAGCTATAAGCCTGCTACAATGCTTCCTCTGTCTCTGTGTAAAACACATTAATTGTCATAGTAGCAAGATAAGACCTGACAAGTTTCACACAGGAAACTCTCAGCATACACAGACTGAACAAGCCTACTTTTCAAGCAGCATGTCTGACATGGCAGCAATCTAAGATAAATTTTCTGGATGTATTATTCCAAGGGGAGAGAAATGTGACTGGGCTATTATGCTCAAAAGTGAGAGGGGAGGGAGGGGAGGGAAGGGGGCAGAGACAGAGAGAAGGGAGGGGAGAGGGGGGAGGACAACAGTCTTGTTTATCCTGCATATTTTCTACTCACTATTTGTTATTTAAATCTTCAGGTTTCCATTTTTTCCCCAGGTTTTTTAAGCTTGGGTGTGACATAATACTGGGAATGCGGAAAAGGGGGGGGGGGGGGGGGGGAACCCCTGTGTGAGTTCTGGGTACCATGTGGGGGGATAAACCCACTGCCCCCCCCCCCCCCCCCGCCTGAGAGGCAAGGAACCAACAGTCTGCATATAAAGTTAGTTGCGTATCCTTTACAGGACCTTGCAGAACCAACCACAACAGCCCCTGGCTGTTGTGTGGTTTTTCTAGGCAAATTTACATCCAGTAGTTTGCCATTGCTTTCTGGACGGTCAACTTTCTTGATACGACTGTCGAAACCAACGCAAGGCATATGGCCCGCAGCTGGGATTGAACCCGGCATTACGAAGCATTCGCATCGACTTAGCCACAGAGCGGACTAGTCTGCATTTAAACAAACCAAATATGTAAAATGGATGTGTCTGCAAAACCCAAGATCCGGAACAAAAGTAGAAAAAAAATTTTTATCTGCGGATCTCAATAACTTTCCACCGGGCCCGAGTTTACAGCCGGTAAACGTTAAGAAGAAAAAAAGAAGAAAGTAGGTGAAAGAATTAACAACCAGACACCTGAAAATGTTTCTGTCATTTAAAAGACATAACACTCTTTAAAAAATACTAGAGGGGAAAGTCAAAGGCAAGAGAGCAAGAGGGACAATACAAGTGGAAGGACAACATCAAGAGATGGATGAATATAAGTCTGAAAGAGTGTACTTCCAAGACAAGAGATAAGCTGACTGACTGAACAGGTTCTATCAGCGCATGAGTAAGTTCTTCCAAAACATACTGTTACTTTAGAATCTATTCTTCTAATTGCTAATGGATTTTTTAAATGTACATTTTGCACACACCTCCTCCTGTTGTACTGTTTTTAAATCTTACCTGAGAAGGTCAAAGTATCCGTACAATCTTATTGTATCCCACTTAAGATGAAAGAATCGGTAGGTGTTACTATTTACATTATATTCTATTATGGCTGTTATTTTGGCCATTATTATCTTTGGCCGATCATAATCTGCCTGTTATGCAACTGTTTATCTATATTACCTTCACGCTGTTATAACACATAAGGCATTCACAGGTGATCTCCCAAGCTGCAGGTCTTCTGCTGTTCTGCCCATGGTATCCCTTGTTAGTTTACACTCTATTTGCCTTTCTCCTGCCCTTTTCTAGGCTGTCATATACTGTCACCTTTTTTTTTTCCTGTTTTCTGCAGCCCACTGTAGGGCTGTCCTTGCCAAAAGTCATGAGGTATTCTGGCAACCACATTACAGCCATCGCCATCTTATTCCAGTGATAACTTTTACCATTTCGTTTTCCTCCACATCTGATTTGTGATCCTGTCTGGTCAAAATATTTACAGGATTCTTTATTTAGACATTTCTCCAGTTTTGTGTGTAATACAACTGTTTATTTAGACATTTCTCCAGTTTTGTGTGTAATACAACTGTTTATTTAGACATGCCTCCAGTTTTGTATGTAATACAATTATTTATTTAGACATGTCTCAAGTTTAGTATGTAATACAACTGTTTATTTAGACATTTCTTCAGTTTTGTGTGTAATACAACTGTTTATTTAAAAGTCTCCAGTTTTGTGTGTAATACAACTGTTTATTTAGAAGTCTCCAGTTCTGTGTGTAATACAACTGTTTATTTAGAAAAGTCTCCAGTTTTGTGTGTAATACAACTGTTTCTACAACTGTGGTTTGGTTTGGTTTGTTTTAAACTATTTGTGTATTATTGTGTACAACAAGTTTCTCTAGCAAGTAATAACCTGGCAGGTCACAGTTGTTTGCCACAGCTGTCGGGGTCTAAGCAATACCTAGACGCGTCTGCTACAGGTATCACCGTGGCTTTCATCCAAGCTTCCCTGCTTGTTGTCTGCTTATCTGCCAAGTTTTGTGTTTACTATGTTCTCCAGCAAATGTGATTTTTCTTATTCCATATTCTTTTAGAACATAAAACAGCATTATCTTCCTAACGCCTCCACAGTGTAGTTATTTACAATGTACTGTTTCTTCTTCGGCTGTAAACTTCGATGGAAAGTTCTTTAGTCTTGCTCCAGAACCTGAGTGATGCGTGCACCTCCGTTTTACATATCTGGCTTATTTGTATGTTGCCTGTTGGTTCCTTGCCTCTCAGGCTGCACTCAAAGGATGCCCCCAATAAGTCGACG